TACCTAATATTTAAGTCTTTGCTTTTTGACAGTACCTGATATTTAAGTCTTTACTTGTTGACACTACCTGATATGTAAGTTTCTATTGTTGTTAAGACCTGATATTTAGGTATTTACTTGTTGATGATACCTGATATTTAAGTCTTTGCTTTTTGACAGTACCTGATATTTAAGTCTTTACTTGTTGACACTACCTGATATGTAAGTTTCTATTGTTGTTAAGACCTGATATTTAGGTATTTACTTGTTGATAATACCTGATATTTAAGTCTTTTTTATTGACACTACTGATTTTAAGTCTTTACTTGATAATGCCTAATATGTAATTTTTTTTTATTTCTTAATAATACCTGTTTTTTAAGTTTTTCTTGTTGACAATTCCTGATTTTTTTAAGTTTTATGTTTACCAAGTCTTCATTTTAAAATGTTTACCTCCATACAAAGTTTCTGCAGATTAACTATTTTCGTCTGTAATTAAAATAATTAAACTTGGAAAAAATAAGTTTGACGTTTAAGTTGTAAAATGCCGGCATTAATATACTTTCTTGACATTTTCCTCATCTTCTGTTCTTTTCCTGTCGTTCACTAACATTTGAATCACGTCCTAATCGTTCCACTCCATTGCGGATACAAATGTTAAATTCATCGTTTGTTACGCAGTCACAAACCGGAGGAAGAAACCCTTCGTGCATACACATCCGGAAATTTATACCAAACTGCAGATCTGATCTTTTTCATATCATTTTGTTCTTTTACAATACGTCTGGTAAAAAAAACTCGTCTTTGCATAAAATAATAAATCCAGGGAAGAAGTTTTTTAGTGATAATTTCTCTGCAAAATCTTTCAAATTTTCAATAGATAAACAAACAAGCAAATCAAGAGAGTAAAGTTCAAACAGTAATCGCTTTTTCTTTTAATAAAAAAAAATCATTAATCCTTGGAATGCTTTGATCTCTGATAACAAAACCTTTCCAAAAGCAAACATAAACTAATTTTAAACATTTAAAACAATACATTAAATAAAATTATGATTGTGTAGCTAAATTTATAAAGTGCAATGTTAATTTATAATACTGAACACTATTTCAGCTTGAAATTACATCAGTGGCATTTTAAAATTGTCTATGGCGGTGTGGTAAAACCACAAAAGGAAAGTCATTAAATACGACACACATACAGAGAAGCAGGAGGTAGTGCACCTTCATATATTCACAGACAAAGAGAATATATTTACACATCTAGTCTAAATGATTAGTGCAAATAAATGACTCTCACTGTTAACAAAATGACGGAGACTGTGAACATAGTACATCATGACCAAGAAGGACATATTTACACATCTGAACAATCAATACAAATTAAGGACACACACTACTGGCAAAACCATGGAGACCGTGGACATTGGTACATCATGGACAACGAGGACATATTCACATCTATAGTCGGAATTATCAATACAATCTAAAGTTGCACACTACTGGCAAAGTCACAGTGACCTTGGACATTGATACCTAGTAAACACCGAAGACCAGATTACACATCTAGTCCAATTTGAACTATCAATTCAAGTAAAGATATGCACCACTGACAAAGTCACAGACACTATGGATATTGGAACGTCATGGACAATGAAGACATGTTTACACATCCAGTCTGAACAATCAATACAAAATAAGGACTTAAGACACACTGTTGACAATATCATGGAGACCGCGGACTTGAGTACATCATGACCAACGAGGACATGTTTACATATCTAGTCTAGTTTGAACTATCAACACAAATTAAGGATGTGCAATATTGATAAAATCAGAGAGACCGTGGACATTGGAACGTAATGGGCAACGAAGATGCATTTATACATCTAGTCTGAACAATCAATACTGTGACATGGGGTGGGGTCAAATCGTTAAACCAACTCCTTCTCTACGGTTCGTTGCTAGGGAGTGTCCTCCCGCGATATAATTTACCCAGTGTGGATGGATAGAAGGAATAATACAGATCTCTGAGCAAGTATATTGAATAAATAAAACAATGAGCCCATTTGATATAAAATTTAATCAATTTAACAATAGAATTTCAAATGGAAAGAAATCAATTTCTTTTACTACAAAATAAAGAAAATGTACGAACATGTACTCAATAAAAGCAAATACAAATTTCACTTTGCTATTACTTGTCAGTGACAGAATTAATACAGTTTCATCATAGCCTACGAGTCGTGACCTTGAGTTCATCGCAGAATGACATCATCACCTATCTTTATCCGGACATCTAATTTTCCGTTACTTCCTGCACTGCCAACCTTTGTCCAATCGCCTTTGACCTGTACCCTTGCCAGTCGACACTTGAAACAATTTGACGATAGTATCTAAAACTGGAATTCGGCTGTAGTGTTCTTCTGATGAATTTTGCTGGGGAAATGGCCGAAAAAATTTGCTCAGGGAATCCCGAAGAAGCTGTTACCTTTGAAAAATAAACAAATGTCCCGCAATAGACAATAGGTCACCCTTTCCAAGTGTGTGTATATATATATATATATATATATATATATATATATATATATATATATATATATATATATATATATATCCCAGCTCAGGTAGCAAACTGCCTAATTCTGTCTTATCAACTTGCTCTATCACTAGTTCTGTTTACAAATAGAGGCCATTACATGCATGCTGATTCGAGTTCACGAGCTAACTGGAAATCATTAGCTACCGTTTCACGAAAACACGTATGTGCCCGTATTTAATACCCCATGACTTCTTTACAGTAAGCTATTTGATACAGTCTAGTGTTAAATTATATTTGGCTTAGCCCATCAAATCTAACTATTCTAAAATAGTTTACGTGATCAATTAAATATTACGAACTAGTATATGAATATACACTCCATACATGGCATACTACACAGAGATTTAATTCATAAATCTACGAAACATTACCCATCATGTATTAGGGTGAATTCACAAAATTTCTACACATTCCTAGTTATCGAATATTCAATTACATGAAATCTTGTCAATTCGATCAAAGAACGTATAATTGGAAAATCAAAGAATAAAATGTCGTGACTAATAGTTCACTAAAACCCTGAAATATGAAATCATACATACATACATACATACATACATACATGCATACATACATACATACATACATACATACATACATACATACATACATACATACATACATACATACATACATACATACATACATACATACATCAATTCATTTGCAAATAAATCAACAAATGAAATAGAATATTAAAATTTGAAAACTAAGATTGCGTACCTTTTGCCGTTTTTTTATTCGTTTTCCCACAAATTTCCAATGTATAGTCTGTCTACTTTCTGAGACAACTATCTGGCCTTACTCAGTCATGGGAAAACGTATTTCTTACGCCCGGAGTCCTGTCTAGCTTCTTCCAAGCAATATTGAAGACTGAAGCAATTTTGCAAAGTACAGCTATTCTTTCTTATAAGGTTTCCACCCTTAAGTTTCAATTAGCCAATCAAAATCGACTGGTTCCTACATTTTCCAATGTAGAATATTTCATGTCGCAGTTAACTTTCCTTTGAACAATCAATTATTGACGTGCTTCCCCTTTTAACAGGTGCGAGTTGAAGAGTGTTATGCCAAGACCCTTGTACCATAACTGATGACTCGGTAAAATTTCCTGATGCGAAACCAAGATTCCTTTGACGTTCAGAGAAGAAATGAGAATATTCATATAACTCTCTCTCTCTCTCTCTCTCTCTCTCTCTCTCTCTCTCTCTCTCTCTCTCTCTCTCTCTCTCTCTCTCTCTCTCTCTCTCTCTCTCTCTCTCTCTCTCTCTCTCTCTCTCTAGCCCTTTCTACTTTAAGTTAACTTTGGTATTATTCATTTAATCAATACTTCTAAGAGTTTCAAAATTCGACACATCACAAATACAAACTAAGGATGCACACTATTGACAACATCACGGAGACCATGGACATTGATACCTCATCAACATAGAAGATGCATTCCCACATCTAATCTGAACTATCAATAGAAATTAATGACGCAAACATTTATTATGAACTATCAATATAAACTAAGGATCGATGCTGTTGACAAAATCATGGAGATCATGGACTTTGGTACATCATAGACAACGACAGTCTGAACAATCAATACAAACTAAGGATCGATGCTATTGACAAAGTCATGGAGACCATGGACATTGGTACATTTTGACCAAGAAGGACATGCTTACACATCTAGTCTAGTATTAATAATCAGTCCAGATTATGTACACTATTCACAAGATCACGGAGAGTGTGGACATTCATAGTTCATTGGCAGAGAATGCGTATTTATACTTCTAGTCTGATCCGTCAATAGAAACTTAGGATGCACACTACTGACAATATCACGAAGATTGTGAACACTGGTATGTCATGACCAACAAAGATGTATGTACACATTTAGTCTGAACTATCAATACAAAATAGTGATGACCATGGACATTGGTAGCTCATGAACAACGATGACACAACTTCACATGTAGCCTGAATTATCAGTACCAATTAAGGACCCACACTATTGACAAAATCACGGAGATAGTAGGCATTGTTACATCATGGACAATGAAGACTCTCTCACACATCTAGTCTGAACTTTCAATACAAACTAAGGACGCACAATGTTGACAGTATCACAGAGAAAGTGGACATTATTAGGTCATCAACAACAAAGATGCAATCACTCATCATGTCTGATCTATGAATATTAATTAATGATGCACATATCTATTCTGAACTATCATTACCAACTAAGACCAACGGAGACCATGGATATTGGTACATCATGGACAATAAAGATGCATTTAAGCATCTATTATGAACTATCAATAAAAACTATGAACAAACATTAATGACAATATCGAGGAGACCGTGGACATTGGTACATAATGACCAACGAGTACACCTTTGCACATCTAGTCCAGTCTTTACATTCAGTACGACCATTTGGGTGGCCAGGTGGTTAGAGCATCCGCCTCAAATGTGGGAGGTCGCAGGTTCAAACCCCGGCCAAGTCATCCCAAAGACTTATAACAATGGTATTAACAGCTGCTTCGCTAGGTGCTCAGCATTAAAAGGTTAGTGTTAGTACTGGTATCCCTGGTTTCAAAATAATGTGACTGGGTGGGAAGTCATGCAGTAAGTCAGTGGCATGATTCCCCAGTGCTAAACATCACTGTCAACTGCCACACTACAGACATCATAGCAATATGACTGAGAAATCGTTAAAGCTACATTAAAAATGTAAATCACATAAAGTCACGTAACAAACAATACAAATTAGGGATGCACACTACTGACAAAATCAAAGAGAGTGTGGACATTCGTATCTCATGGACAACGAAGACAAACTCACACATCTAGTCTGAACTATCAATACAATCTAAAGAATATTTACACACCTAGTGTGAACTATCAAAAAATGACAAAATCACGGAGACCGTGGACATTCGTACCTCATGGACAAGGAAGACAAACTCACACATCTAGTATGAACTACCAATACAATCTAAGACGCACACTATTCACAATATCATAGAGACCATGGATATTTGTATCTCACCAACAATGAAGATGCATTCACAATATCATGGAGACCATGGATATTTGTATCTCACCAACAATGAAGATGCATTCACAATATCATGGAGACCATGGATATTTGTATCTCACCAACAATGAAGATGCATTCACAATATCATGGAGACCATGGATATTTGTATCTCACCAATATTGAAGATGCATTCACAATATCATGGAGACCATGGATATTTGTATCTCACCAACAATGAAGATGCATTCACAATATCATGGAGACCATGGATATTTGTATCTCACCAACAATGAAGATGCATTCACAATATCATGGAGACCATGGATATTTGTATCTCACCAACAATGAAGATGCATTCTCACATCTAGTATGAACTATCAACAGAAACGAAGGACGCACACATCTATTCTGTACTCTCAGTACAAACTATTGACAAAATTACAGAGACCGTGGACATTGGTATATCATGACCAACAAGAACATGTTTACAAGTCTAGTTTAGTCTTAATAATCAATCCCAATTAAAGATGCAAACTATTGAAAAAATCAGGGAGAGCGTGGACATTGATACATCATGAAAAACAATTTTGACAAAACCACAGAGACTGTGGACATTGGGACTTCATTATCCACGATTACGCTTGTAGCCCAAACTATCATTGCAAGCTAGGGACACACACACACACACACACACACACACACACACACACACATCTAATCTAAACTATCAATGCAAACCAAGGACACACATTATTGTCAAGTCACAGAGATCTTGGACATTGGTATGTCATGGACAGCGAAGACTCACATTTAGTCTGAACTATCAGCACAAACGAAGGACATATAATATTGACAATATCACGGAAGCCGTGGACATTGGAAGCTCATCAGCAACAAAGACGCATTATCACGTCTGGTCTGAACTATTAATAGAAACTAAGGACGCACACATCTAGTCTTAGCAGTGAATGCAAACTAAGGATGCACACTATTGAAAAAAAAATCAGAGACCGTGGACATTGGTACATCATGACCAATAATGACATATTTACACATCTATTCTAGTCTTAACAATAAATCCAAATTAAGGATGCACATTGCTGATAAAATCACAGAGACTCTGAACATTGGTACATCATGGACAACATGGACATATTCACACTTTTAGCCTGAACTATCATCACAAAGTGCACACTATTGACAATATCACAGAGTCCTTAAACATTGGTACATCAACAATATTACATTGTACAGTTGATATTCCATATCGTGAAGTTTGTACTGTGTGAAGAAATTTCAAATATTACATTTTGGAAATAAAATTGTTGGTGTACAGTACCTTTTGTGGTAATTGTATTACTGAGGGATGAAGCTTCAAGTTGGCCATTGAAATTTATTTTGCACTTACTGGTAAATAAAAACGTAATGTGGATGCCGACAGTATCAGAATCAAACTACATACACTGTGACATTTTCAAAAAAACAGCAGTGTGATTTGGTTTTCACTTATTATATTCATTTGAGAAATCATTGGCCAAAAGCAAGGTAACGGAGCCATTTTGTACATTAGGTCTTTATTTCTGTTGGTTAGTATTTTCTGGAACAGGGTGAGATCATTCTCAGTGAGAACTGTATTCAACCCTTTCATGTTCCTACGGATCAAAATACATCCTTTCACTCTTCAACATCCGTACAAGCAAAACTTAAATTTAAATACGTTCAAGTTTATAACTCTTCCATCAAGTGAATTTCGGCCTGATTCCTTAAAGCCATTATTTAACGACAATTAGCCTTTCATTTAGTACTGCAATACTACTAGTATTATTATGATTGCTATTCAACGACAATTAGCCTTTCATTTAGTACCGCAATACTACTAGTATTACTATGATTGCTATTCAACGCCAATTAGCCTTTCATTTAGTACCGCAATACTACTAGTATTATTATGATTGCTATTCAACGACAATTAGCCTTTCATTTAGTACCGCAATACTACTAGTATTACTATGATTGCTATTCAACGACAATTAGCCTTTCACTTAGTACCGCAATACTACTAGTATTACTATGATTGCTATTCAACGCCAATTAGCCTTTCATTTAGTACCGCAATACTACTAGTATTACTATGATTGCTATTCAACGACAATTAGCCTTTCATTTAGTACCGCAATACTACTAGTATTACTATGATTGCTATTCAACGACAATTAGCCTTTCATTTAGTACCGCAATACTACTAGTATTACTATGATTGCTATTCAACGACAATTAGCCTTTCATTTAGTACCGCAATACTACTAGTATTACTATGATTGCTATTCAACGACAATTAGCCTTTCATTTAGTACCGCAATACTACTAGTATTACTATGATTGCTATTCAACGCCAATTAGCCTTTCATTTAGTACCGCAATACTACTAGTATTACTATGATTGCTATTCAACGACAATTAGCCTTTCATTTAGTACCGCAATACTACTAGTATTATTATGATTGCTATTCAACGCCAATTAGCCTTTCATTTAGTACCGATATACTACTAGTATTACTATGATTGCTATTCAACGACAATTAGCCTTTCACTTAGTACCGCAATACTACTAGTATTACTATGATTGCTATTCAACGACAATTAGCCTTTCATTTAGTACCGCAATACTACTATTATTATTATGATTGCTATTCAACTACAATTAGCCTTTCATTTAGTACCGATATACTACCAGTATTACTATGATTGCTATTCAACGACAATTAGCTTTTCACTTAGTACCGGAATACTACTAGTATTACTATGATTGCTATTCAACGACAATTAGCCTTTCATTTAGTACTGCAATACTACTAGTATTATTATGATTGCTATTCAACGACAATTAGCCTTTCATTTAGTACCGCAATACTACTAGTATTACTATGATTGCTATTCAACGCCAATTAGCCTTTCATTTAGTACCGCAATACTACTAGTATTACTATGATTGCTATTCAACGACAATTAGCCTTTCATTTAGTACCGCAATACTACTAGTATTACTATGATTGCTATTCAACGCCAATTAGCCTTTCATTTAGTACCGCAATACTACTAGTATTACTATGATTGCTATTCAACGACAATTAGCCTTTCATTTAGTACCGCAATACTACTAGTATTACTATGATTGCTATTCAACGACAATTAGCCTTTCATTTAGTACCGCAATACTACTAGTATTATTATGATTGCTATTCAACGACAATTAGCCTTTCATTTAGTACCGCAATACTACTAGTATTACTATGATTGCTATTCAACGACAATTAGCCTTTCATTTAGTACCGCAATACTACTAGTATTACTATGATTGCTATTCAACGACAATTAGCCTTTCATTTAGTACCGCAATACTACTAGTATTATTATGATTGCTATTCAACGACAATTAGCCTTTCATTTAGTACCGCAATACTACTAGTATTACTATGATTGCTATTCAACGACAATTAGCCTTTCATTTAGTACCGCAATACTACTAGTATTACTATGATTGCTATTCAACGCCAATTAGCCTTTCATTTAGTACCGCAATACTACTAGTATTACTATGATTGCTATTCAACGACAATTAGCCTTTCATTTAGTACCGCAATACTACTAGTATTACTATGATTGCTATTCAACGACAATTAGCCTTTCATTTAGTACCGCAATACTACTAGTATTACTATGATTGCTATTCAACGACAATTAGCCTTTCATTTAGTACCGCAATACTACTAGTATTACTATGATTGCTATTCAACGACAATTAGCCTTTCATTTAGTACCGCAATACTACTAGTATTACTATGATTGCTATTCAACGACAATTAGCCTTTCATTTAGTACCGCAATACTACTAGTATTACTATGATTGCTATTCAACGACAATTAGCCTTTCATTTAGTACCGCAATACTACTAGTATTACTATGATTGCTATTCAACGACAATTAGCCTTTCATTTAGTACCGCAATACTACTAGTATTACTATGATTGCTATTCAACGACAATTAGCCTTTCATTTAGTACCGCAATACTACTAGTATTACTATGATTGCTATTCAACGACAATTAGCCTTTCATTTAGTACCGCAATACTACTAGTATTACTATGATTGCTATTCAACGACAATTAGCCTTTCATTTAGTACCGCAATACTACTAGTATTACTATGATTGCTATTCAACGACAATTAGCCTTTCATTTAGTACCGCAATACTACTAGTATTACTATGATTGCTATTCAACGACAATTAGCCTTTCATTTAGTACCGCAATACTACTAGTATTACTATGATTGCTATTCAACGACAATTAGCCTTTCATTTAGTACCGCAATACTACTAGTATTACTATGATTGCTATTCAACGACAATTAGCCTTTCATTTAGTACCGCAATACTACTAGTATTACTATGATTGCTATTCAACGACAATTA